AGAGGGAGAAGCAGGTTCCCTGCTGAGCAAGGAGCCCGATGCGGGACTCGATCCCGAGACGCTGGGATCATGACCTGAGCTGAAGGCAGCCGCTTAACCAACTGAGCCACCCAGGCGTCCCTAAATAAATAAAATCTTTAAAAAAAAGTTTCTGCATGAACAAAAGCATAGCCCACAGCACTCTACTTCATAGATTTGCCATGAGACAATGAATTTAAAGAATTTAGCATGGTGCCTGGCACTCAAGTACCAACAAATAGGAATTATTAACATAATAGATGGATAAACAAATACATTAATAGATGATGACTGGATTAAAATGGTTGTACATATGCATGTACAAATGGAAATGAAGATATGAAAAGATATATGAAAGATGGAAGAAGGAAGAATAGACAGATAGACAAAGAAGAGTGGACATGGACCCATGGATGGGTGACAGAGAAGGTAGAAAAGTTTGGGTCTGCAGTTAGGTTTGTCACATCATGCTCTAGGGCTGGAAAAGGAAACAGAGGAGTGCTCCACAATTCATCTATTAGGGGAGGTCTCCTCCTCTGGTCTGTCTCTTGATCCTCTTATCAGGTAAGGAAAGCACTTGCTCCTCTTCCTCCTACCTAGTTTCCTTGTCTCTGTAAGCTGACCAGCCTCTCTCAGAAATTCTCTCTTCATTCCCACGATAGGGAAAGCACAGTAGAAGGGGCATTCTAGGCCAGATTCCCCTCAAGCTATTCCTCTGACTCAGCTCGGGGCATAGGAAAATGGGTCAACAGGGCAAAGGGTCAGTGCTGGCTGGGTCAGGAGGGTGAAGCCCTAGAGTCCTCAGATGTGAGATACAGGAATTGGATCTGCTTCCAGAAAACTTTCCCTTTAGCAAAACTTGTCTGAGGGAAGACCAGGTCTCAAATGACAGATGCATAGACACTGTGATGGGCCTAGGGAGACTTGTGAACCTGAGAAGGGAACTTCTCCAGGTTTTTTTTTTTTGCTTTTTAAAGACTTTATATTATTTGAGTGAGAGAGAGCATGCACGTGCACATGGGCAGGGGGGTAGGGGTTGGCATAGAAGCAGAGGCAGAGGCAGACCACCCACTGAGCAGGGAGCCCCACCCATCCAGACCTCCATTCCACGATCCCAGGATCATGACCTGAGCTGAAGGCACACACTTAACTGAACCACCCAGGTGCCTCACCTTCTCTAGTTTCATCTTGCTACTTTGTCATTGTTCTAGGAAATCTGGGGAACCAGCTGGCTCCCAATTTTCCCACTCCTCCCATCCCCCAGTATCTTTTTTTTCTTTTTTTTTTTTTTTTAGATTTTATTTATTTATTTGAAACACACAGAGAGAGAGAGTGCACGCACAAGCAGGGGGAGCAACAGGCAGAGGGAGAAGCAGGAAGCCTGACTCAGGACTTGATCCCAGGACTCTGGGACTGTGACCTGAGCCGAAGCAGATGCTTAACTGACTGAGCCACCTAAGTGCCCCCCATTCCCAAGTGTCTTAGAACCACAAAGAAGAGGTAAGTTGAGAAGCCTGGGAAGGGGAGATACTACTTACTCTGACCTCTAATCTGGAACCAAACCTTGAGACTGATTGTTCAAATTCCTCCAGGAGAGGACACTGTAAAGATTCCCCTAAGGGTGACAGTGCCAACAGCCCCCACACACATACCTTGCCTTGTACAAACTGCTGATTTACTAAGATTCTCAGAGGTAAAAGATAAAGAACGGGAAATGGGTGTGGGGAGGCTACTGAGGAGTTATGAAAGGAATAGAAGGTTCTTCTAGATATACAGTGGGTAAAATATTCAGTGGAGCCTGGGTGGCTCAGTTGGCTGGGCAACAGCCTTTGGCTCAGGTCACGATTCCAGGGTCTTGGGATCGAGTCCTGCATCAGGCTCCCTGCTCAGCGGGGAGTCTGCTTCTCCCTCTCCCATTCCTCCCCACCCCACAACCATCATGTGCTCTCTGGCTCTATCTCTGTCAAATAAATAAATAAAATCTTAAAAAAATATATTCAGTGGAAAGGTATTCTACCAACTCACATACTCCAACTCAGTTCACACACTAACCACTCTGCATCGTACTCCACAAGCTTAAGGGCACGGTCCCCAACACGTCTGCCCCTACTTGTGGGGTTCCCAGGTGATGTGCATTTCTGACCAACTGGCTATAAGCCCAGGGAGATCCCATGATCCCTCAGCTTCAATATTTCACTAGAATGACTCGTGAGAGTCGGGAGGGCTATATTTACAGTTTTTTGTAAAGAATATAAATCCGGAAGAGCCAAATGAAGATACACACAGGGCAAAGTCTGGGAAGGTCTCAAATACAGAGCTTCATGCTCTAAACCTCATGGGCACATCATCCTCCTGGCACATCAATGTGTCCACCAACCAGGAAGTTCTACAAGTTCTAGTGTCCAGGATTTTTATTGAAATTTCATTATGTAGGCATGACTGAATTGGCTGAACTCAATCTCCAGTGCCCCTCAAAGCCCCGACTCTTCAGTGACATGGTTGGTTTTTCTTGTGACCATCCCCCAGATGATCCTAAGTCATCCCATCTCTTAGCATAAACTCAGGTGTGACTATCCAAGGGGCTCATAAATAACAAAGATATTCCTATTACATGGGAAATTCAAAGATTTAAAATCTCCCTTTCAGAAATCAGAGACAAAGACCAGTCAAATTCTTTATTACACAACAGAAAGGAAGAAATTTTTGGATATATATAAAAAAAAAATGAAGGCTTCAGGAGGCCATAAACAAGACAGCAAGAGCCTCACATACACATCACAGAACCATCATGGATCCCTCCCCCTTACCGTCACTCTTCCACTCAATCTCTGCCATCCAGCCTCACGGTCTCACAAAGACTGCACACAAGCAGGACTCCTGCAATCCACACATTTGCTGCTTGCAAAGAGTCTATCCATCTGTCCATCTCTCCATCTTTCGTGGCCTCCTGCACAGCACCACTCCTCTTCTCAGCATACTGCTTTCTTGGTCTCCCCTGGGAAGGGGAAGGGGTAAAATGGTAAGATGAGGGGCAGAGGAGGGAACAGGGAGTCTGTGGAGGACACTGTGAGTTCAGGTCCGAGTGAGTCTCTGAACCTGAGAGTGTACACATGCCAAATGGGTGTGCCCTTGTGATTGCATTTTTGTGTACTGTCGGGTGTACCCGTGCACTGTGCACATTCATGTGCCATGTATACACAGACTTGTGTGGTGTGGGTGTGCCCATGACCCAGGTGTGCACCTGTGTGATACAGATGTGCCTGTGCCCCTGCTATTCCTTAATGTGTCAACAGCTGGATGGGTCCTGGGGCCTCTGGCTGCCCTTCTCTGTAGAGGGTCTATCTCCTTTAGCCTGGGCTTCCAGAGGAAGAGGAGGCTAGTGCACGTGGACGGAAAAGAAAGGAACACTAAAGCTATGGTGCAGCAGATAGGCATCCTGAATTCTATTCAGTGCTGTGGTCTTCCCATGTAAAAGTCCCTCAAACCCTAACCCTTACACCCACACCCCAGCTCTGAGTGATGCCAACAACTCCGAGGACGCTGTCTCTTGGTGAACCAATACCCGATTTCCAGGAACATTTCTGGTGCCTTTTTGTTCCTAGCTCCTTCTCAATGATGGCTGTAGGGTACTGCTGTCTTTGTGGGGGAGGCGGTGAAAATGAACCAGTCTCTTCCTCTTCCAATCACCTCCTCTGTCACCTGGGCTTCCACTCATCATTTTACTTCCCTTCTCCTTGCCAAGCTCCTCATCACAAGGAAGCCCCTGAAACAGGTTCCCAGATGCGGTCCTCAGTTTCTGCCCCTCACACCAGGGCCTGCCAGGAAGCTGGGTTCCAGGACTCTTCCATTCCTTCTTATTCCAGGTTCACTGCACTGAGAAAACACCACCTTTATGCCCCTCCAGACCAGTCCTGGGTGGACCGCATCATCTGGAGACTGCAGAAGAACTCTGCAAAGGCAACCCCAACCCTACCCAGCCCTGGCTTCTCCCTCACAGCCCCTGCTCAAGACCCCAACCCATGACCCTGCCTCTCCTTCCCGCCCTCTCCTTCCTGCCCTAGGAGCACCACCGTTGTTAACCCATGGCAGCCCCAGAGGGAGCCCTGTGTCCGAGTGAAGGGATGTGACTCACTGCAGTCCTGGGGAACCAAGGATCAGAAGGGAGGACCAGGCCTCCAGCAGCTCTGCACCAGACCTGACCCAGCAGAGACAGGGCCTGGAGTGTCAATGGGAGTGTGTGTGTGAGCAGGGGTGAGTGTGGCAGGAGCGCAGCTTCTTCTCCACACTCAGACAGCAATGCTTCCAGTAAAACCCAACTGGTACCCACGGACCTGTCTGCAATCTTATTTGTGGCCCAGGCAGGGGAAGAGATGTATGAGAGGGAGAAAAAAGGTGGGATGGGGGAAAAGAGTAGTGTACCCATTTGCCACACTTCAGCCTGAATGACTCTGGTCACTCCCCTACAGTCTAACCAGAAGGGTCTCTTCCTCCCTCCCCAGATGATCCTAAGTCATCCCATCTCTTAGCATAAACTCAGGTGTGACTATCCAAGGGGCTCATAAATAACAAAGACATTCCTATTACATGGGAAATTCAAAGAGAGAGCTATTCCCAACCTCCTACGCTTGGTTAATTGCGCTCTCTAGGTTCTACTGCAACACGCTCTATTGCCTCCAACCACTGTGCTATGTTTCCTGTAATATTCTGGCTGCTCTACTGCTATATACCCATTCCTAGCGTGATATATCCGCTGACCGAATGACTGACTGTAGGAACAAAAAATCAGAGGAAGATAAATTTTAGCTCAGAGAGGAAGGGCTGTGACCCCCTGGCCATTAAGTGACTTGGACAAAGCCACTCACACATCAAGTACTTCTGTAGTCTGCTTCATCTAAGCTGAGACCTCTCTGGAGACCTATTCCTTCTCAGACCACAGCCAAACAAGTGGCAGGGTAGAGGGCAGAGCAAGACGAGAGAAGACTGGGAAAACAGTACTGGATAGCGTCCCAAAGCTCTCATCTTGCTGCCTGGGGCTGAGGTCTCCAGGGAGAGAGTTCCACAATCTGATACTATCCCTGACAAAAGACAGTCCCACAATCCGTCCGCAACCTAGGTTATAGGGCCCGACTCCGCCCCTTTAGTGATAGAAGGACCCTGGCTCCACCTCCAGCGTGACACTTTAACTCCTCCTCCTCTAAAGAAACGCTCAGACTTCGCCCCTTCCGGGTAATAGGCAAACCCCACCCCTGGAGCGCGACGGAGTCCCTATGACGTAACGGTAACGGTCTGTTTCCGGGGTGGAGCCAGGGAGGGCGGGAGTTTAGGCTGCGCCGACCCCTCAGCCCCCCTTCAGGTGATGCCAGCCCCCGAAATCCTCACCTAGGGCCCCAAATATCCCAGGTCCATGACCGAAAAATCTTTCGTCCTGACCCCCTGGATGCCCCAGGCCCCCGCGGTGACCGACCTCCTAATTCCTTAACGTCTGATGCCTCCCAATTCTTCAGTCCCACCCTGTCCCAATGTGGCAATTGAGGCTTCCCGGGGGCACCTGCCTCAGATTATCTGAGAACAGGTCAGACTGGTCCCGAGAATGACAGAAGGGGACCTGGGGTTGGAGTATCCTTGATCCAATCATGCCGCTCCCCAGGAGACGTTCGGAGCCCAGGACATGTCGGGATTGAGGAGATACGAGGTGGCGCTGGAGGCGGAGGAGGAGTGAGTGGAGGCGGGTTCTGCGGAGGAGGAACCTAGCCGCTCCGGTGTTGGGGGAGGGCGCGAGTTCTCCGCGGGCGGGAGGCGTGGGGCCCCTCAGGGGGCGTGGGCTGCGGAGGGAACCGCCTCCAAAGGGCGGGGCGGAGCCTTCCAGGGGAGGGGTGAGGCGTCTGAACGGCGGAGTCCGTGGGGTCAGCCCCGCCCCGCCCGGCCCGGCCTTCTCTCTGCAGGATCTACTGGGGTTGCTTCTACTTTTTCCCCTGGCTGCGCATGTGGCGGAGGGACAGGAGGTGAGGGGGCTGCGACACCGCGGACCCGCCCGGGGCGTACGAGGCTCAGCCTCAGGAGGACGGATGGGGGGAATCCGGGAGTCCCCTCCCTGCCTCATGCCACTGTCGGGTTGCCCCACAGCTCGGCGCATCCCCGGGAGCAGAAGCTGGAGCCTCTACGAGGCCTGATGAGCTGTCTGTCAAGCGGCCTGGGCCCTGCCCCCCAGCGCTCGGGTCGCGGCCTCCCCCGCCGCACCCCCACCGCCACTGCCCAGCCAGCCGGTGCATTAAAGATTTAAACCGAAGCCACCGTGCTGCCCTCCTGACTCTGCCGCCGCTGCCGCCATTCGGGAGCCCCTCTACACGCCTGCTTTTCGTTACTGACAGGGCTTCCCTCCCTGATAGGGTGCCCTTCCATATCCTGGCCCCGGTTATTACTAAGGATCCCTTCTCAGTGTCAGGCCTCCCATTACTGTCACTGACTGCCCTGCGCCACCTAACCCCTCCCCCTCCCCACACACTTCACTGTAAATAGCCTATATGCTGGGAACTAAGTAGCCCTGTCCCCGTCTTCCTCCCAGCCTATCCCCACATTGATGTGTTCCACCTTCCTTCTAGACAGGGCTTGGCCAGGTGTCTTGGAGAATCTTCTTCTGAGAGTGAATCTAAACTACTGTAAGCCCAGAGTTGTAAGAGGTAGGCTGTGAGAGGAGGAGAGGATTCCTAGACGCTGACTCTCTCAGCCTGCCACAGGGGAGTGACTTTGGATGGTTGGGAGATCTTTCCTACAATTAATACAACTTCTGGCTCCCCCAGTGTTTCCCAGGTTAAAGATACTTGGCATCAGCTTACCTAGCAGTTCTTGCTCTATCCCTAGGAGAACCCAAAAGCCACAGCTCCCTGCCACCCCTGTCTTGTCACCTAGTTGACCTGAGACTCTCTAGCTCCTGAAGTGCTGAGGGTGAGGGACTCCTAGTGGGCCTGCTTTCAGTTAGGGAGGAGACGCAGCACCAGAAAAGGTACAGGGAAGATTAAGTTAAAAGAGACAGCCCAATTTATGGGGCAAAGCTAACTTTCAGCCTGGGGCTCCCCCCACCACAGCAGACTGTGGCTGGGGAGAAGACTTGGCCCTATCTTTGGAAGAGCCAAAGGGGAGAGATGGGTACATACCTGGAAGAATTCATTTCTTGTCTTCCCAGGTATCTGGACCGATTGGTCCAGGAAAGACCACAAAGTATGTGGCAGACAACCAGCTGGGATAAGTAAATGGTATCCCAAGAGCTGCATCCAAGCTCTGGGGCACAAGTCCAGACTGGACGGTGGGAGAGAGACTCCAAGACCTCTGGTACTAGCAGTTCAAGATGAGTGACCTCTGGGTTGTGGCCACCTTCAAGAACGGACTCAGGTTCCTGAGCCATTTCCTCAGAATGTCTACATCAAGAACCCTGTCAAAAGTGGAGTGCCCTGTCCAGCCCTGGGCCGACACCTCACCAGGACACTGTCAGAATTCCTGAGTATCCACAAGACAAACTCCAGGAAAGGGCCTTCAGGCCTCACGCTGGACAGGAAGGAGGAGAAGCTCGAGTTGGTCAGCATGGGACAGGAACTAGTTCTTACTCTTGGAACGGATGGTCCCTCCCACTTGTTTCAGCAGCCCTGCAGCAGCAAGATGCCCGGGATAGGTTTGCATCCCTATCCCGGGAGAAGGCCTGTCCCTTAGAGGAGAGCTGGCCGCAGAGCAGAAGGCTGCAGAAGGCACCCTTACAACAACCAGATAAGGTCTGGATTACTAGGTTATGACTCAGTTTATGTTTCAAAAAGAAAGCAGGAGTTGAGGATTGAAATCCCCAGACCAGGAGTGGGAAATTCAAGGTGCCAGAGGCACTAAACTTAGCAGCTTGTCCCCACCACAGGCAATCCCTGGCTTCCTGGAAAGGACAAGAGGAGGAGGAGGACTTTTGCTTTAGGGGGTAAGGGGAAGAAGGGAGTGGGGGCTGGAAATGCAATTAGGAGACAAGAGACAGGAAGGAGAGAAGTTAGGGTTTTAGCAAGATGATGGGATGCAAAATGTATAAGGGTTGGGGGGGGGGTGTGTTACTGGATCTGGGTGGGCAGCAGGGAGAGGCTGGAATTTGAATAGAACAAAAGAGAAGTAATTGAGCTCTTGAGTCTGATGTCTCAATAAGCCAGGACTGAGTCTGGAACCCCCAGGCCCCTGCTGGCAAGAGGCTGCTATTTCTGGGACAGGACCAGGCAAAAATAGGAAGGTAAGATTTCTTGGGTCTTTTTCTTGTTTGACAGCAGCAACCTGGCACCAAAGAACTTTATCTTCTCTTATCTTTCCGCCTTATCCACCCCATCCTTCCGCCCTGTCTCATCTCCCTGGGTAAAGCAGCCCTCACCTCAGCATCCCAAAGGTACCCCAGTAGCACCCAGCTCCTCACTCTGGATGTGACTGTCCTAGCCAAGACTCATCCTCAGCCAGCAGAGCTTGCTTTAAGGATCCATACCCATCAATTTTTCCTGATAAGACAGGCAGGCTAGGGCAGGAAGGAGAGAGGGGAAGATGAAGGCAAGTTGGTGCTGGCCTGCCCTCTGCTCCCACCCCACCCACAATCCCTATGAGAATTTGTGTGTGATTGAATGATTGTGAAGACACAACTATGTGGGAGTAGGACTTCAAGTAGAACTGGGGCTATGTGATTCTGTCTCTGGACATAAGGTTGACTGAGTGATTGAGGTGTGACTGTGACTGTGGGTTTGTGAGTGTGAATGTCGATTCCTGGACATGTGGATACTTAGGTGCCCTTACTCAGTCACTGTACCATCAGTCTTCATATCAGGCACTACCCCTCTCTCCAGCTTCTCTGTCCAGGGCTTAGAAGCCAAGCGAAATGGCAGTCCTGGAAGAGGAAGGGGTCTGTGGCAATTAGGGCCCAGGAATGTCACAGGATGAGCAATACATCTTCATCTGCCTCTGACTCACCTGGTGCCCCAGGTAAAAGGCACCAGATAAAAGGTAGGGGAGAAGGAGGAGGAGAGAGAGAAGTACCCAGGCTGAGCAGCATGAAGGGGCCCTCATCCACAAGCAGCCTCCTGCTGCTGCTGCTGTTGCTGCTGAGCCCAGACCCTGGAGCAGGTGAGCGCTTGGGGGGTCTAGAAGGGCATTTCCTCAGAATGCCTCTGGGTGAATGGGATGGAGGGAAAGGGACCAAGGAAGTCCATCCTCCAGGGGTCTGATGGAAGGGTTTTGGGTCAGGAGCCCTCTGAACACATGGCCCCATTGTCCCCTAGCACTGCCACTGCCAACCAGCATTACCTGCTGTACTCAGCTCTACCGCCAGCCACTCTCGAACAAGCTACTGAGGAGGGTCATCCGGGTGGAAGTACAGGAAGCTGATGGGGACTGTCACCTCCAGGCCTTCGTGTGAGCTCTGACCCTCTCCCTTATACAGACCCCTGACCTCAGTCCCATCCCCTGATGCTGATCCCAACCCCAACCCCAACTGCTAATTCTGATGCTGACTCGGGTTTTCATCTAGCCTTTGCCCTAACCCCTGGACTCTAACCTCATTGCCAAGCTATGACTATGGCTTTGCACCTTTCCTTTCCCAGGCTTTACCTGTCTCGACGCAGTGTCTGCATCCACCCTCAGAACCGCAGCCTGGCTCGGTGGTTCGAGCGCCAAGGGAGGAGGCTCCGGGGGACTCTGCCTAACCTGAATTTGGGGCTGATAGGGAAAATGGGCCAGGGCCCCCAGGAGCTGGAACAATAAAGCAGCACTGGACAACAGTCTCTGACTGTGGTTTCCAAATTCTGTGCATTCTCCTGTGGGCCCTGAATCTGAAGCTGGGAGACGTGTTAATAAACAGAAGAACCTCCTCGTTCTCTTTATTCACATCGTCACAAACCCCTCCAGGGGCAAGGCCAAGTGCCAAGGAGCCACAGATACTCCCCAGGCACCTACATGCATACATTGAGAGAAAACATGTTCCCTACCTCACATACACATGGGCACACATGGACACAAACACACATCTACACACATTCCTCAGGTGGACCTCCAGCTCTGAGATGAAATGAGAGGTCCAGGCACCTTTCAGTTGGCAAGTCTGGAACAAAGTCTGACAGAACTGGGTTCCAAACAGAACCTCCAGCTGAGACCACTCCCCGCCCTCCTGCCTCCATGGGGATCTACTATCCTGCCTGGGTTCTATCTGTCCATCCACACCAGCAAGACAGAGTTATAGGTGGAATCAGCTGAAGCCCTCCTGGGTCATCTACAGGTTTGGGGCTCCTAGAAGAAGCAGGAGGCAAATCAAGGAAGATAAAAGGACTAGATTTTGGCCCAGACACCCTGAAAATGAGGGAGGGGATGAAGGTCTGAGCCCACCACCAAGAATGAGTAGGGGAACCCAGCTCTGAACCCCAACACCCTGAAGATGAAGTGTTCCTAGTTCTGGACCCAGATACATTGAGAATAAGGGAGGGGACCCAGCTCTGATCTAAGACACCCCAGAATAAAAGACAGATATCCAGTTCTTAGCTTAACACCCTGAAAATGAGGGGGGCCCAATCGAAGAACCCAAATACCATGTGAGGGAAGGAAGAGACCCAACTCTGAGCCCAAGGACTTAAGAATGAAAGGTCCATCCCTGAGCTCAGACTTCGTATGAATGAGGTGACCCAACTCTGATTGCCAACACCCTTAAAGTGACAAGAGCATCCGGCTATTAATCCAGACACTCAAAATGAGGGTACACACCTCTGAGTCCAAACCTCCTAGATGACCTACTCACCTGGAATCTTGTCTACTGGAATCACTGGAGCCAAGAACCCAGGCTTTTGGGGTCCATCCTTCCCATCTGGTCTCAGTCTCAGCCTGGAGCACAAAAAGGTAGTGGGCATCTTTGTCTCCTCCAAAACAGTGTATAAATACAAGGTCAGGAGAGAAATCAGTGCAAATAATGAAGTGGGGGTTGGAGGGAGAAGGGGGGAGTTGTTCCAGAATCAGAGAGTTTCCCTAGGAAATCATGAAGGGTGGGAACGTGTGTGGTCTGTGGGTATCAGAACATCTGTGTGGGATCCAAATTTGAGGGACCACTGGCAGTTACTTACCAGAGCCCCAGTGCCAGGGCCCCAGCTGCCAGTCCCAGGAAAGAGAAGATTCCCAAAGATGCCAACACTGCTACCTGCTCCAGCGGGTCTCTGTGGTCTGAGCGGGGAGGGTCACAGGCCACAGTTAGCGAGGCTGCCTGACCGAACCCTTTTTCTCCAGGGCTTTCCCATCCTACACAACCTTTGTTCACCTGCCCAAGCTTACCAAGTGGCTGTGGGTCTGGCAGGAGGGAGGGCCTGGGGGGAGTGGGGCTGTCTGCCTGAGGCTCTTTCTCCAGGGGCTTCTGTAGCTGTCCCTCAGCTGGCATCTCCTTCAGCAAAGGCCCTGAAGGGAGGCGAGACCTGAAGAGAACTCTCCACACAGGGTGGTGGTGGAAGACAGGTTCTGCGAGGGGAGGCCAGGGCCTGGCTTGGACACGGGGGGAGTCCAGGAGGTGGAAGCCGAAAGGGTAGAGCCAGCTTCTGAGGACCTAACGGAGGTGGAGGCTGAGGGGCAGGGCTTAAACTGGGGCAGGGCTGAGAAGAGCCAAGGCTGAAGACTGGGACCTCAATTGGCACTGGCAGGGCATGTGCGTGTAGCCCACTTGCACACCAATCCAGCTGACAGATGCTGCGGGACGGGCTTGGTGCCCGTGCCCTGGGCTCAGTCTCTCACCAGTGCTCGGAGTTCCCCAGGCCTCAGGACTCCAAGCACTCCATGTGCCAGCGTCCAGAAAGTCCCGGGCACTGACTCGTACAGCGTGGGGCAGCCCAGCCACGGCGTCCGTGATCACCTCCTCCAATCCAGCTGGCTCCACCTGGGAATGAAGATGGCTCCTCGGCCAGTTATCTAGGTTGTTAATGCCAAGCCTATCTCCCCCCAGCCTTAGTTAGCAAAGAGCACCCCTTCCTCCCAGTTCCATCCCTGTCAGACTGGGGGAGCTGTCTGGGCCTCACGTGGGGTGGCTGGTGGCGTCAGGTGTACACCAAGTATGTGGAAGATGAAAGTGCATAGTGGCTACACAGGCAGCCTGCCTGGGTTCAAATCCTTGCTGTAGCACTTACTGAGTGACCTTTGGCCACTCTGTGCCTTGGTTTCTTCATTTATAAAATAGCGGAGAATATACCCGAGTAAGATAATGCATACTAAATGTGTAGTATGGTGCCTGGCGGGCAGGTAGCGACCAATAAATACTGGGCATTATCTGAAGCCGCTGCTCCCCAGACTTGCTGCCAGCCAATCTTTAATATCTTCAGAGGTGGAAATTCACTACTGTCCTCATCTGAATATATGAATGTTTGTATAAGAATGTGCCTCTGGGTGAAAGGCACTCCTTTTTCTAGAAAAGTCATTTGCAAAAAGCCACTCCTGTCCTCCCACAGATGGGCTGGCATCAGAGTTACAGCCCACACAGGGCAGAGACTGGGCCTTTCGCACCCAGCGGCAACCCCAGCACCCAGCACAAAGGATCACCCAGGGACAGTACTCTACTGGGAGAGGTGACAGGGCTCTGGTGACCTGCCAGTACGTCACGTAGAATAGCCAGGGACATGAAACCAGAGGCAGAAGCCATAGCCCCAGACTGGGATACATTCCAGGCCTCACCGTGGACCAGGCCGGATGCTGCACTGGACGGTACTGCAGTCGGAACTTGAGCAGAAAGTGGGGCTGGCGGGGCCAAGAGGCAGGGTATGTCCAGCTGGCATGCAGGCGGCGGGGGTAGCCAGGAACTGACTCTACCCGAAGCCCCTGGGGTGGGTCAGGGCGCACTGAGGGTAGTGGAGACACAAAGTCAGGACAGGACAAAGGCATATACCCACCAAGGGAAGGTGGGTATATGCCTAAAGTTACCTGAAGGAGGCATTTCCAAGGGGTTTGGGGAAATCTTAAGCTTGATCATCCTCTGGGCTCAGGACCTGTCTGTTATCCTTGTTATAAAATGAGCTGGGGCGCCTGGGTGGCTCAGCCAGTTGGGCGTCCTACTCTTAGTTTCGGCTCCGGTCAGGATCTCAGGGTTATGGGATTGGGCCCACGTCAGGCTCCATACTCAGCATGGGGTCTGTTGTCTCTCTCTAGCTCTTAGCTAGAGCTTTAGTTCCCCCTCCCACATACGGATCAAAAGGAAAGAGGGGCCAGCAAGGGCTTACACTGGGCAGGGAGGACACAAGGCATGGCTGCCTTTAGCACAGGGCCTGGAACCAGAGGCAGTCTGGGGTTAGGAACCCAGGAAGAACTTGTGCACTAGAAGCCAGGAGGGGCTAGGGGTAGCAACCTCTAGAGGCTGAGGTAACCCTGCCTCCTGGGCTGATCTCTTCGGCTTCTTAGTCTCCACAGTAGCTACCTGTGTGCTAAAATGGGGTCTCCATTAGGAGGGAACTGTTTGGGAGCTCTGGCAGGTGGAGGTTCGGTGTTGGGGTTTCTGTGCCCTGAAGTCCATCTGGGGTCTCTGAGGCGCAGCGGAAATGGGTACTCACAGATGCTCTGCAAGCTCACATCCAGCAGGCGTGTGCTGGCCCCCAGCGGGTTCACCTCAGTCACATTTATTCGGTACTGGCTCCAGAACTCTGCCCCATGGACTACACAACGGGCAGCCCCTGGAGGATCCTGTGGGCATGGCCAGGGCCCTGTGGATGGATTCATCCTAGGAGGGACGATGTGGTTGTGGGCTTTGGAAATGCTCATTAGGGGATCCAGCTGGAGTCCCCAACCTCTCCTTTATGTCCTACCTCACGCCATCAGCTCCTGGTACGGTCTTCTTCCTGGCAGGAAGGGGACCATCTGAGGTCAGGAAGGAAAAGAGGATCCTTCCTCCCTCTAAGGCCTTCTGCCTCCCATGCACACCCAAATGTATAGGCTTACACACCCAATCATGCACACACCTGTAGGAGGTGAGGTAGCGGGTGGGTAAACCGCTGACCTGACTGGGACTCCAAGTGCAAGAGAAGTTCTCATAGTCAGCTGCTTGGCAGGAGACAACAGGGCGGGCTGGGGGGTCTAGAGGCAGAAGGTGCAACTGGAGTCTGAGAAGTCCCCAGGTCCTTCCCATCCTAGAGGGCCTACTCAGGGCCTGGATGCCCTCAACAGCCCCTTGCCTCATCGCGGCCACCCAATACTCCCTCCCCAACTCACAGCCCAGCTGTAGGGTCACAATTCCCCCAAGTGCACCATCCAGGGTCCGGCAGATGTAGGTGCCTTCGTCGGTGCTGTCTGCCCGGGCCAAGACCAGTTCATGCCCTAGCCCAGAGTCAGGTCCCTGGAGCAGTCTCGTCTCCCCGTCCCGAAACCAGGACACCGGGGCCCTGGGGGTGAGACGAGGTGATGATAGAGGGAAGATTTAAAATGTTAACCTAAGCCATAGCTCTCCACTGGCTTCTCACTGCGCTTGCAATAAAACCCTTTTAGGTCCTTTAAATCCAGGGGCTTACAAAGCCCCTGGTGATCTAGCCCTTGCCTTCCTTTCCTTCTTCAGCTCCTCCCTCTCGCCCCCTCACCCACTACACTCCAGACACATTGGTCTTCTTTCTGTTCAAGAGTATTGAACTCATTCACACCTCAGGGCATTTGCACTAGCTATTCCCTCAGTCAGGAATGCCTAACATGTGCATGGCTGCCTCTTTCTTGACCTTCAGAAATTAGCTTCAATGTCACCTCCTCAGAGAAGCCTTCCCTTATTACCAATAAAAAGTAACCAATCAGAGGCGCCTGGGTGGCTCAGTGGGTTAAGCCTCTGCCTTCTGCTCAGGTCATGATCTTGGGGTCCTGGGATCGAGCCCCGCATCGGGCTCTCTGCTCGGCAGGGAGTCTACTTCCTCCCCTCTCTCTGCCTGCCTCTCTGCCTACTTGTGATCTCTCTCTCTCTGTCAAATAAATAATAAAATCTTAAAAAAAAAAAAAAAAGAAGAAGAAGAAGAAGTAACCGATCAGATATCCTCTTTCACATCACTTTCTTCTGATTTTCTGCCCTGCAGGTACCACTCCCTAGCAAGATTTATATTTGCTGGGGTGCCTGGGTGGCTCAGTGGGTTAAAGCCTCTGCCTTCGGCTCAGGTCATGATCCCGCGGTCCTGGGATTGAGCCCCACATCGGGCTCTCTGCTCAGCAGGGAGCCTGCTTCCTCCTCTTTCTCTGCCCGCCTCTCTGCCCACTTGTGTTCTCTCTCTGTCAAATAAATAAATAAAATCTTAAAAAAAAAAAAAAAGATTTATATTTGCTTATTATCTGTCTGGCCTACTAGAATCTAACCTCTACATAGGCAGGCATCTTGCCAGGCATGTGCGCTGCTAGAGCCCAGAGCCTAGAACAGACCAGGGACTGAGCAGGTGCTCAATACATGCTGGTTCAAATTTTCCATTGAATAAGGATGGTCTGAGGGTTAGGATAGCTAAAGAGATGAGGATTAAAGACACGGGGCAAGGATGGGAGGGGCATGAGGACTGGACAGAGTCAAGAAAGGGTCATGACTGTCAGCCCGGTGGGCAGGGGTGGGGGACTTACCCAGCAGTCACTCCAGGGCAACACAGTGTCATGGGCCTGCCAGCCTGCCCATACTGGACCCCTGTGGAGGGCATTTCTGAGGAAAGGCTCTTCCTGTCCCTCTCTCCCATCCCAGCCCCCTCTTAGTGAGCACACGGGGTAAACAGCAGACTTTTAAGCCTGGGTGGGGTCACTGGCTCAAAGCATCATGTTATAATCTAGAGACAGAGGTCAGAAGACAGGGCAGAGAAGGAATATTGCCTGGCTGGATGTCAGGGGTTGGGGGTCACAGACTAGGCAAGGAAAGGGTTCACAGGGAGGGTGGCAAGTCATAAGTCAGAGTTGGAGGCATACAGCAGGATTCTTCTTACCTGGGGGGCCCCAGGCCTCGGGACAGGGGGAGGCGGCAGACACCAGGGCTACAGCCAAGGCAAGCAGGACCCTGCTCAACCCTGAGCAGCTGCTGCTCATCTGTGGAGAGAGAGGCAGGGTCAGCAATCCCCCATGCCCAGATGTGAGGCTAAAGCCTGCCTCCTCTTCTAAACTGGGAACTTCTAGGAAGAAAACTGGTCCCAAATGGGATGAGGATATTAGAAAACAGCAAGGGATCTGATCTAAGGTCCCCCTTTCCACCATACACCCATACACATACATGCAAACACACAACACACACACACACACACACACACACACACACACACACACACACACACCCTCCATCTCAGTCCTGGGCCTAAGGCCCAGAACAAAAGCCGGAGGCGACAGACTGTGCCAGAAGTACCCCCCACACACACACCACCCTTGGCGCCCACCCCTGGCACCAAGTGCTGGCACCAGCTCAGTCACTCCCATTAACTCCTCCAACCCAGCTGTTGGGAATTCCAGTGTCTACCCCCACCTGGCCCAGGGCGACTCACTGCCTCTGGTCAACCTGAGAAAGCCTTTATCAAACTTGGGTGGGGGTGCTGTCGTGGTAGGTCTGAGCCCACGCTGTCTTCCTACCACGAGGCCTAGCCCTACTTTGGCTGCCAGGCCTCTTCTCTCCTGAGCCCAGCTCCTTAGGCCACTCATCTGGGCCTGACTCTGGAATCTTGTTGGTCCCAAGCCTGTGAGGCTGGATGGGGCTGGGGAGCAGGCTGAGGCTGCAGAGTTAAGCAGATCCAGATGCCTTGGCTGCTGCCAGAGGCTGGAGGTGGGCAAGGAGCCAGGAGATGGAGACAGGGTGTCGGGGAGGGGAGAGAAGGCTGAGGAGTGAGAAGCCTGCAGGGAAGGGGCCTGGGGTGGAGGCTACAGGACCAAAAGATGCTCCGACATCAAAACCAGGAGGTGGTGGGGTTCAGGGACGCAAGGGCTGGGCTAGGGCAGAGGGAACTAGAAAAGCAAGGGAGGTGTATGATAACCACTGCCCGTGGGAGTGCTGGGAGAGAGGGATTCTGGATGGGAGAAGAGGAGGATGAGAAAGGCAGTGGGGAAGTGGCCATGGGCACAGGAGGAGCACATAGGGAGAGGGCCCAGGCAAGCAAGGGCTCCAAAAGAGGAAGAGCACTGAGCCCTCTCAAGCAGAGCAGAACAAGGGCCTCCACATGTCTGTGTATCAGTCTGAATGTGTCTAGTGGCTCACACTCCCCCCCCCACCCCGACCCCAGCCACATTCACCCTGCTCAGCCCCGCCCTACCTCGGTGATCCCAGTAGCTGACTGTCCATGGCCTCCAGGACTTCCTCCCACCAGCTACAGCACCCGTCTCAGCTCCACTCAGTTCTGGGACCCCAGAATCATCCCCTCCTTCCCCTTCCCTCCTCCGCCCCTCTGGGCCCTAGAGCTCAGCCGCCCTGAGTGAGGCCCCCACCTCCCTCATTCCTCCTCCCTCCTCCCCTTTTGCCCCCCCCTCCCACCCGAGGCCCTGGGAAGGGAAGAGGCCTCCCCCCAGTCTGGAAAGGAAGCCACAGGCACAGCTAGGGCCAGCAAGAGGGAAAGGAGGGCTGCTTATGTCCCTGTCAGGGAGAGATTCCCTATGTTTTCACCCAGCCACATTCATGCGTGGACTCAACTAGGCGCAGTCAACAAAAAGACACTCCCTTGAACACACAACGGCATAACCAAATGAAAAATCAGACACAGACTCCTGCCCCCACTCTTTTCACTCCCCAGCAAATATTTCCTTGGGGCATAGCTAGCTGTTTTTTGAGGGAAAGGGAGGCCCCAGGTTGGGAGGTATAAAGAAAACCCAGAGTCCAGTCCCTCTGCCCCTGGACGTTCCAGCCATTTCTCACCTCCCCCTCCATTCTTTGGGCCCCAGCACCAGGAAATGCCTTTGGTCCCTTGGTGCCAGATACACAAGACCCACACTTACCTTCAGACACACACTCTCAGATATAGCCACTCACAGTCACATGGACACACTCAGACACCCTCACTCAGACTCATACCCATACCCTCACACACAGACACACAGACACTTAGCACTCTGCCCCGGGATGGGGACGCAGCACTCCCTAAAAGCAAATCCTCATGATGGTTTCAGCCCCTCTTTCAGGGAGCTCTTAGCATGGCAGATCCCACATCTCATCACCATTCAGGCCTCCATGTACCCAAAGAGACAAAGGTGAGCAGGGGAGCTAGGCACAGGGGTACAGAGACAGAGAGAGAGAGACAGAGATGCAGAGGACTTGAGAGGCAGATACACAAGAGATACCTGGGCAGACAAAACTGTGAGGAGGAGACACAGATGACTGACAGCTCTAGAAAGACAATAGTAAGGAGAGAAAAAGAAATAAAAGGAAACTGAGACAGGGAAACAGAAAATAAGCAGTAGACCAATGAGAGGGATTCCAGGGCACAGAAAGGAAGGGAAGATAAGTGTGCTGGCGTGGGTCTGTCTTTGCTGGGTGTTAAGCAGATAGGTCAGTCCCACTGACTAATGAAGTTGGTCCCCACGATACAACACAGCTCCACTCTCTCGCAGCACACAGGACACACACATAATACACGGTCTGACACAGGACACACACATACTACAAGTCTCCCTCTCGCTCTGCTACTGCTCAAGTCACACAATGCACACATAAACCCAGCCACCCACTCTCACATAGTCTTAAACCCCACAGAGACCTTCCCCAAACCCATTCCCCATGCGGTGACAGGCCCTCTCACACACCAACACACAACCCAGTCTCTCACCAAAAACTGCACATGGACAGAACACATAATCCCACACTCTCACAGCCGCATGCACACTCGACCACACGCGCACTGACACACGCAGTCATGTAACTGACAGCTGCACCAAGCGGTACTCAGTTACAGGTCCACACGCTGACATCGTCACACACAGCCTAAGAGTCACACGCACACACTGACAGTCCGTCAGCCGGTCCAGGCCCTTCAGATTGTTCACTACCCTGCCCCGCCCTCTCCTGGCAGGCCTTCCCCGGGGACTCCCGCCGCCCCCACCACTCCCCCCCGCCCCCGCCCGCCAGCCAGCCAGCCAAGGCCTCACCTTCTGCGGCCTCCGCCGCCCGCGCCCTCCGCCCTCGCCCTCTGCCCCGGCCTCTGCTCCCTCCCGCCCTGGGGCCCCAGCAGAGGGGGCGGCTCCGCCCAGGCACCAATGGAAGGACAGGGGTAAAAAGGGAGGGGGTCTGGGCCCATTGGAGCCTCCAACTGCCAATCACCTCCACCCCACCTCTACCGGACACTTCCTGTCCCGTCCGGGACTGAGGAGACTGCTGGGGGACAGAGTGTGGAGCTGAATTCCTGGGTCCTCGCTTACAGCACTGCCCTGCTGGGACAGCAGGACTGGAAGTTTTCAGGCCCCTCCTCCTTCCAGCAGTCCAAAAACAAAGCCACAAGTTCAGTGGCTCGGGAGCCATTGGGCAGGTGACTGGAGAAGCTGAAGGTGCCCCAGACTCCAGATAAGGAGGACTTGAGATAAGGAGGACTTCTGTGGGGCAATGGTTCTCAAACTTTGCTGGACCTTGTGGTTTTAAAACTGGCAAGCCACACTCCAAACCAATTAAATCCGAATCTCTGGAAACTGGCCTTGGCATCGGTGTTGAAAACTCCCAAATGATTCCAAAATGCAGCCAAATCAAGGGTGTAGGATCAGGTGTTTGTAGGTGTATGCCTTAAGAAACCAGCCACCCCCATTCAGGGTTCACATCTACTCCCCAGTCACTGGGTCTCAAGGGAGATGTGTACCATGTCTGTCTGAGCTCCCTCCAGACGCTCCAAGTCCCAGGCCCTACCCCTCCAAGGTCTCAAGGAAAAAAAAAAAAAAAACCTGGACTAGAAGGCAGGCAGCCAAGGTACTCCCGGGTCAAGTCATCACTGCCTAGCCTTGGCATGACAGCCCTCCCGAACTCAAGTTACCTTGAGAGAAGAACTAAGATGAAAAGCCTCAGGCCATCCTTGCATTGTTCACAAGCCCTATCCTCACCTAAAAGTTTGGAGGGCACTAGGTGGCATCAGGTCTTCTGGGTCGCATGCCCTATTATTGCCACACACTCATATAATCTTACCAAGGCAACACGTGCAGAGGGGAGGGAGCAGACTCAAGGGTCCCTTCTTCCCAGGCTGGGGCTCCTAACTCTGACAGGCCCTTTCCTGCCAAAGCTGTTTTCTTGCTTTCCTTCCCCTGCAATCATGGGGGCCCATGGGCAATACAAGTGGGCAGAGCCTGCCCATATACGCTGCACGTGAAAGTCTAGACAAGTCAAGGACACAAAGCCATGTGCATGTTCCCTACCCACCTCTTCAGCCCCTGTGGGCTGGAGCAGGACCAAGCTGCAGCCACTCACAAAGCCAGGGTTCTGGCCAGCAGCCCAGTGTCTGGCCACTGACCACTGGGACCAGGATCCTGTTCACCAGCTCCCCACCAAAGCCTCAGGCCTAGGCCTAATGAGCTGATGTATCATCCTAGGGGTGGTGGTGAAGGGGGCTCTGGGCTTCCCAAAGCCTTAGCCACAGACAAGAACTCGGGATTTTTTTTTTTTTAAGATTTTATTTATTTATTTGACAGAGAGAGATCACAAGTAGACAGAGAGGCAGGCAGAGAGAGGGAGGGAAGCAGGCTCCCTGCTGAGCAGAGAGCCCGATGCGGGACCCGATCCCAGGAACCCGAAACCATGACCTGAGCCGAAGGCAGCGGCTTAACCCACTGAGCCACCCAGGCGCCCGAAGAACTCAGGATTTTAAACATTTCTTGAAACTATGATGCCTTTGTTACTCCAGAAATACAAGAATCTATAGGGCAGATATAGCACTGAGTCTTCATTTGGGTTGAGATTTGGGGTGGAATTTTTGTACTCTAAGTTTTTGAGTATCAGCAGGCAAAAGTAAAGTTGTGGCTGGTGCTGTGCCATCGGCCTTTAACCCAGATCCCTGAGGATTATAGTTCATACTCCTCTGTCATTAGAATATGTGATTAAAGTTTGAGAAACACAGTTTAGTTTTATTGATTCCACATCTTCCCAATCCCAGTCCCTGGTTCCCTCAAGCAGAAGGCCCTGTGGTCAGCGTGGTTAGGCGATGGTTGCTGTCTCCCTATCCTTCTGCCCCAGGCAGTAATGAACCTCGGGAAGTGTCCTTAGTCTCTCTGCAGCCTGGAAGGAACAGGGGACAATCAGGGAGGATAAGGGCTGCCCAGAATGCTGGTGTGGAGTCGTATGAGCGGAACAGTAGTAACGACTGCCTAGGAGACACTGGGGGGAAGGCTTGTAGGACCAGGAGGCTGGTGATAAGGACTGCCAGAATAACCAGAAGTAGAGCTGAGCAGCTTGAGTCCTTAGGAATGCCTAGGTTATGAGGTTTTCAGGGTCATGATTGTTAGGCTCCCTTGGAGAAATGGAAGAGAAAAGGATCCCAAGAACCCAGGGTGCTCTGAAATCTGACCTGCTCGGGAGTGAGGTCCCTCTGGGCCTGGGCAAGCATTTCATAGCCAACCATGAATTTCCGGATGGTGGCAGAGCGCAGGAGTGGAGGGTAGTAATGAGCATGCAGCTGCCAGTGATCCCAGTTGGCTCCAGCCTCTGATCCCGTGGGAGCTCCTAACAGGAAGAAGAGAAAACTGAAGAGCCCATTTTTAATTCTTCCGCCTAGCCCCTACCCCCAAACCAGGTTGGGTACCTGAAAAGTACATCTCCCAGCATTCCTTGCCAGTAAGTAGACAAGGCATTGGAAAACACTGGGAAATAGTTTCACCAAATCTGTTGTTCCACTTTCGGTCCCAGCATCCCTGCTCAGGACACTTCCCCCCAAAAGTATTTCAAAGCCTGCTGGGAGCTACAGTCCACTAATCTCGGCCTCAGGACCTCAGACATTGGGGCTAGGTATGGATGCTCAAAGTCTTACCGTGCCAGCCCATGGAGTAGGGAAAGGACGTCTCAAAAAGGTTGTCATACTTGGTCAAGAGCTTCTTCATGATAGAGGCTAGATCTGGAATCAGAGCCTGACTCTCAGCTAGGGCCAAGATGTTGGCCCTACCAGAGCCATCCCCAACCTGAACGTGGCCCCTGGGTCAGTTGGGAGACTCACCATCACGCTCAGCAGGGGTCAGCTCAGGCAGGCGCCGCACATGCCTACGGGGCAGCAGCAGTGTCTGGTAGGGCCACACTGCCCAAAAGGGGACCAGTACCAACCAGTGCTCACTGGTTAAGACCAAACGTTCCTGGGCAGACCGAGTGGAGATGAAGTCATCAAAGTGGGGGAGAGGTGAGACAGGGGAGAGGTTGTCAGCAAATAGGAGAAGAAAAAACGTACTCAGAATCTGATGGCTTCTCGCCACCTCCACCACTACCACCCAATTTAAGCCACCATCCTCTTTCCTTTAGATTACTACTATGGCTTCCCATCAAGTCTCCTGCTATTTCCCTTCTGCCCTTCTCCTTCACAGACCTTTCTCTTCTGGAGTGAGATTAGGGGTTCCTTGGGAAAACAGGGTCTGGGTTTTTCCCACCTTTCTGAGCAGCTCCTGGTGGCCATATTCCATTAGCAGGGGCTCTCCACGTTGACTCTGATAGGCCCGCTGAGTTCGCTCCTCACGCTGGGCAATATCCGGCAGAAAACTACTGGCCCACACCTGTCAAGGGACAGGAGAAGAGAAGAGCTGGCAGATCCTTCACCCCCAAGCCTCCACATTACTTAGTCTGTCCCTCCAGTTCCCTTCCCCACAATACTGCCTTGGACTCAGCCCAGAAATCCACTGGAGCCCCTGACACACTTACCTGGCAGTGGGGATGGGGGTTGGAACAACCCATCATAGCTCCTTTGTTTTCAAAGATCTATCAGGTAGAGGTAGGGAGCTTTAGAAGTCAGAGAGACAACAAATCAGCTCTCCCGACCACACCCTTTGAGAACAGGAATACCGCTTCCCAGCACCAAAGCTGTGTCACCCCCTCCCTGCCCATCCAAGGGAGGGGGCAACCTCACAGACCTGCACCCAAGGATACCGGGCTCCCAGCTCCTCTGTCACTGAGGCCCATGCATCAATGACAGTGCGGATCTCAGGCACCGACATGAGTGGTAGTGTTACATCCGACCAGGGGTGGAAGCACATGACCTTACTAGGTAGCGTGGGAGAAGAAATGAGAGAGATATGGGGCTTAGCTGTTTCTAAAAGCAGAGCCCAACCCTAGCGCTCAGTCGAAGCCCTGGGTTGGAGAGGAAATCCATAGTTACCAAACTCCTCGAGCAGCCTCTGCTTGGAAAAGGGGATGATCACTGGGTCCTGAGGTAAAAGGGTGTCGGGTGTCGGTCTGCAACAGAAGTCCCCCAAGAGGTCCAGCCTCTCTTCCCCACCCTCCCCCCGGCCCAACAGCAGCTATAGCCAGGTTACCTGGATTGGGGGCATCAGGCTGCAATGCTGGGAAGTCGTTGTCAAACACAAAGGTGCCGTCATAGTAGGGATTCACCTACTGACAAGGTTTTGGTAGAAATATTTGCTGCTCCCTACCCACAAGTCACGTGGGCTTCGGGGCTGGACAGGCTACAAGGGGGTGTGGAAGATGGGCTGTGGGGTCAAAGACTTGGTGGGACCTAACACAGAAAGAGGTCTACTCCCTTGTGGGTGAGGGGCAGCTCTAAGAGGGAGCTACTACTCCTGGTCCGGTTGCAGAAGTAGGTTCTAAAGGCTTACCTCTCCATTGGCCCGTGTGGCCCCGGGACACAGAGGGTTGTGGGGGTCATGGCGGGGAACTGTAGTCAGGAGAGGGGGCTCTACTTGCCCCTGCCAGGGCCGCTTCATGCGGTGCGCTGACACCAGCACCCACTCATCTTGAAGCGGGTTGTAGCGGATATGCTGATGTTCTGGGGACAGAGAGACAAGATCAGTCGGCAAAACTCTCTGACCCTCTCTGCCCTGGGTCTCACCCACCAGCAGGCCCAACCTCAGAAGCACCCTCTCAGCCCTGTCCGGCTCAGGAGCCAATGGCCCGGGCTTGAGCCTTCCCAGCTTCCATTAGCCTGGGACCACAACTCAGTCGCGCCCGCTTGGCGGGTGGGCGCGCCAACCTGGGGGGGAAGGGACGATAACTTTCTAAGCAAAGGGAGGGCTCGGCTCCGCGTTCCAGCGAGTCCCAGACGCCCTGCAGTTACCGCTAGCCCGGAAGGTGGTGGCGATGCCGTCTGCTTCTGACGCCTGCTGGCGCTGCTCAGGAATTGATCCGCCGCGCGACATTAGACCACTTGTGTGGGTGGGGATCGTCTGGAACTGTACAGAGCCGACTCTCACCCACCTCCGGGTCTACCCCGCCCCGCCCCGATGACTGGCCAGTAGCCAGCACGTGACTGCCAAAGGGCCCGCCCGCGCACCCGCCCAATAGCGAGCGGGACTCAGGAAAGCCTAGCACTTTGGAGGGGCGGCTTTGGTCATCCCAGTACACCCCTGGGCCAAGTCACTACCTTAGAAGACTCTCTGTAAAAGCCACGTATTGCAGATCCCTCAGCTCCATGACATTTACAAGATTTCTTTGCTGCATGCAGTGGTCCATTCGGTCATTCATTTAGCAAATATTTACTGAATATTTGTGTGCCAGGCCCCTAGCCTAGGCTCCATGTGGGGCAAAGGGATGCCCCTGCACCAGTCAGGTATGGTCTCTGCTCTCCCGCAGCTTACAGTCTAGGGCCAAGTAGGGGTATAACCCTGGATCCATAGCTACCTCACTTACTTGCTCAATATCTTTGGTGGAGGAGAAGCAAAATGGTAGGGGGTTGAGGGTGGGAGTGATCTGCTTTAGCTGAACCCTGGCCTCCAGTTAGTACCTGGAGGAATGGATAGCTCTCCAAAATCACACCCCACCCCGTCCAGGCAGGAGAAACAGGTTTGGGGAAAAATGGCTAAGTAACCATACTCTCTCTCAGATGCTCATGCCGAAAGCACAAGAAGTAAGCAGTGTAAGAGGGCTATAAGAAATCTGGAAGTGGGGCGCCTGGGTGGCCCAATGGTTTAAAGCCTCTGCCTTCGAATGGGTCATGGTCCTGGGGTCCTGAGATCTACCCCTGATTTTGGGCTCTCTGCTCAGCGGGGAGCCTGCTTCCCCCTCTCCCTCTGCCTGCCTCTCTGCCTACTTGTGATCTCTGTCTGTGAAATAAATTAAAAAAAAAAAATCTTAAAGAAAGAAAGAGAGAGAGAGAGAGAGAGAAAGAAAGAAAGAAAGAAAGAAAGAAGGAAAGAAATAAATCTGGAAGTAAATGGGGCACCAGAGTGGCTTAGTCCACTAGGCTCTGCCTTTGGCTCAGGTCCTGATCCCAGGGTCTTGGGATCAAGCCCTGCATTGGGCTTCCTGCTCAGCGAGAGTCTGCTTCTCCTGCTCCCTCTCGCTCCCCTTGCTTGTGCTCTCTGTCAAATAGTAATTAAAATCTTTTTTTAAAGAGAGAAAGAAAAGAAAGCACACCTTCTTATTTAAAAAAAAAACAAAAGAGGGACGCCTCGGTGGCTCAGTTGGTTAAGCCACTGCCTTTGGCTCAGGTCATGATCCCAGGGTCCTGGGATGGAGTCCCACATCAGGCTCCTTGCTCAGCAGGGAACCTTCTTCTTTCTCTGCCTCTGCCTGGCACTCTGCCAGCTTGTGCGTGCGCTCGCGCGTGTGCGCTCTCTCTCTCTCACAAATAAATAAATAAATCAAATCTTTAAAAATATAAAATAAATTAAAAAAAAAGAAGAAGAAGAAAAGAAAAGAAAAATCATGAAAGTGTGAAGAAGACCCCATGGCCAGTAGCTCCAGCCACCACCTAGGTGGGATCAGGGGTGTTTCCTTTACACTAGGTTAAAATCCAAATTAATTCCTCCCCTGACACTTTTAAAAAGACATCTAAATATTGTTTCAACCTCCTCCATATTCCACAGTGAAGAACAGAAGCCTAAGGTCAGCCAGAGGATTAGTGGCCTAGCTAAGATTTGAACCCAGGTTTCCAAGCTCTTCTCATTGCTCTAAAATGCCTCTGAGATTTCAGTGAGACTCAAGACAGAAACCTAGTGAGCTAGGAACCCCACAGTAGCAGGGAGGCCCCTTCCCCCAACCCAGGCCAGGCCAACCCGGTGTTTTGCAGCTCAGATGCAAAAACTGGGTCTTTGGTCATTGACCTAATCTCTGCCCTAGGTCCTCAGACTGGAATCTAAAGAGGCTACTAGGTAGGGGGCAGGGAACTGAGAAATGAGGCTTTTACATATACCACTGGCTTTTCATTCTTTGGAGTGGAGGTGAGGGGAGCTGAGATAGAAGATTTGTTTTCCACCTCTCTCAGCCATCTTTGTTGTTGGGAGTGACTAGATTTTGGAGGCAGCCCCATTTTCCCAAGAACACCAGTGCTTTGGTGCCAGTTCTTGGATTGTGATGATGTAGTTTTGAATGTAGGTGAGGTCCAGAGCCCATGGCCAAGAAGGAATTTTTAAGATGTCTTTGGTGCAAAAAGATGATTTTCTTAAAGCAAAGGGACAGGACCCTGGACAGAAACAGGGGCTGCACCAGAGTTGTGAGGAGTGGTTGATTATAGACTTGGGAGTTGGGGTAAGGAAAAAGGGTTTTTTTGTTTTTGTTTTCTCAAAGATTTTATTTATTTATTCATTTGACAGAGAGAGACACAGTGAGAGAGGGAACACAAGCAGAGTGAGTGGCAGAGGGAGAAGCAGGGCTCCTGCAGAGCAGGGAGTCCAATGTGGGGCTCAACCCCAGAACCCTGGGATTATGAACCGAGCCAAAGGCAGACGCTTGATGACTGAGCCACCCAGGTGCGGGGGAAAAAAGAGGTTTTTAAGAAACTTTCATATGATAAAGAGGACCTTCTAGAGATTGGAGGCCCTGTCCTCTAGTAAAGCATTAACCTGAAGACAGTTGGGAGCTTCGTTCTGGAAGTTGGGTTATTGATAAGAATGTTTTTTTCTTGCAAATATCACTAAAACATTTGTAAATTGAGGGAGGCTGCTGTCTAGTTGGACTGTGATCTCTGTAAGTTAAGCATTTGTTTTTCCTTTCCTTAGCTTTCCAGCAGCCAGCAGGGCCTGAGGAATGTCACACTTGTCCCACCTGTGTCACATTGCCCCCTGTGTGGGGGGAAGGGGCTTGCTTGTGGTGTCAGCTTGTGCTTTGTCCTTGCTTGCCTTCTGCTCCCTCATCAATGCCAGCTAACTCCTCACCCCCTTCAGAAACATCTCTTCAGGAACATTTCCAAACTTCTCTTCTGTCTCCCCAAGATCACTTTTTGGGGGAAGAGTACAATGGTTGAGATGGGGCCTACAGAGCCCTTCTCCTCCAAGATCTCTTCTACAATGTTGTTAAAAAGAACACTATAGGGGCACCCGGGTGGCTCAGTGGGTTAAGCCACTGCCTTCGGCTCAGGTCATGATCCCAGGGTCCTAGGATCAAGTCCCCCATCGGACTCTCTGCTCAGCAGGGAGCCTGCTTCCCCCCTCTCTCTCTGTCTGCCTCTCTGCCTGCTTGTGATCTCTCTCTCTGTGTCAAGTAAATAAATAAAATCTTAAAAAAAAAAAAAACACTATAGGCCCAAACTGACGTCACATAGGACAAGTTTTCAAACAGGGGTTTAATGCCTCATTCAACTGTGGTTTCAACTTCCCCAGAAATGTAGTCTTCCTGGTCAACCAGAATTTTCCGATTAGCACCAATGATTCCCTACCTGGGCCCTCTCCCGCAAAGGAAGACAAGGTAATCTGCATAATAAGAGTCCCTGCTTTTCCCCTTAAGGCAAAAGGAACAGGCCTGGACCAATCCTTTTCTCTTTCAAATCTTCTTGTCCCAGACTTCTTCCTTAAAAAAAAAACAAACTTCCACTTCTGGGGTACCTTAACTGTCTGACTCTTGATTCTGGCTCAGGTCGCAAGGTCTATCTTGAGATAGAGCCGTGAGTCAGCACCCCACTCAGCCCGGAGTCTGCTGGAAATTCTCTCCCTCTTCCTCTGCCCCTCCCCATTCTGTGCACAGGGGCATGCTCTCCCTCTCTCTCAAAATAAATATTTTTAATCTTTAAAAAAAAATTATTTATTTATTTATTTGGCAAGAGACAGCAAGAGAGAGAACACAAGCAGGGGGAGTGGGAGAGGGAGAAGCAGGCTTCCTGGCGAGCAGGAAGCCCGATGCAGGGCTTGATCCCAGGACCCTGGGATCATGACCTGAGCCGAAAGCAGATGCTCAACAACTGAGCTATCCAAGCACTCCTCAAAATAAATAAATCTTTAAGAAATAAAAATAAAACCTTCCATTTTATATACCTCCTCCTCGGAGCTCCCTTCTACTTGCTAGATGGGGTGCCGCCTGATTCATGAATTGTTTAAGAAAGCCAATTAGGTCTTCAGATTTACTTGGTTGAATTTTGTTTTGTAATATCTAAATATGGCTGTGACTAATTTTTTTATAAAACAGTTTGTGCTAGAGAAGCCTTCTGAAAGACCAGGGAAACTGCAGACCTAAACAGTCCCAGAGAGTTCTGCCTAAACAGGGGCGCAGAGGCCAGATTTTGGGGTTAGCCCCTGGTCCTCAGGGTTCTTAAGAGAATGGTCAGCTCAGGAGTGTCACAGAAGCCAGAGCCAATACAAAAAATGTTTCCACCATAGGGGTGCCTGGGTAGCTCAGTGGGTTAAAGCCTCTGCCTTCGTCTCGGGTCATGATCCTGGGGTCCTGGGATCGAGCCCCACATAGGGCTCTGTTGAGTCCATGGTCAAAGGAGTGAGACTGATACAAAGTGAAGGTCAAGCAAAGCTTTATTTCGCGCCAAGCATCGAGAATCAAACTGAGCAGCCAGGGCCGTCTCTTGCAAAGAGGCGACCTCTCTCTGTCTTACAGACTAGCTTTTAAGGGCAAAGGCCATGTGGTTGGGCCTGGCCATGCACAGGTGGCCAATGAGATTGTAACACACAGGGAAAGCTGCACAGTCACGCCAGGTCACACATAAGTGACCAATTGAATTACAATTTACCCTATAGTAGATATTTGAACTAGCCTATCACCTTGGTCAGAATTGGTACCCAAAAGGTGCCCAAAAAGGCGGGGCCCATACTCCTTGGTAGCTAGGGAGACAGTATGTGCCCCCACTGATTGAATACCTCCACCTGGCCTGACCCACCCTTGTATTTGGGCTTTGTTACCTGGGACTGCTTTCGGGGACTTGTTTTTAAGTAGGTCCCCTGGGGAGAGAGGGGGCAGGGACAGTTTAAGATTTACTGCATAAACAACAAAATCACTGTTTAACCGGATGGCATCGCTCTGGCTAAATAGTCCCTT